AGGGAATAATGACAGGAGCAGAGGAAATGGTCTGAAGTTGGGGCAGGGGAGGTTTAGATTAGATATTAGAAAGAATTACTTTCCTGAGAGAGTGGTCAGGCCCTGGAACAGCCTGCCCAGGGAGGTGGTGGAGTCACCATCCCTGGAGGTATTTAAGAAACATATAGACATGGCTCTTCAGGGCATGCTCTAGTGCCCAAGTTTATTGGTTTATGGTGAGGTGTCGAGTGTGGGGCTTAGTTGGTGGGTGCGGTGTTTTTGGTGGGCATTTGGTGTGGTGTGTTTTGTATTTGGTTGTTTTGTTTTGTTTTTTTGATAGTTTTTTTTTTTTTTGTGGTTGGACTCGATGATCTCAGAGGTCCCTTCCAACCACTAAGATTCTGTGATTCTGTATTGGTGTGGGGGACCCCGTGTCCTGCTCACATCTCACCCGCCGCCCCGCTCCCTCCCCAGGTATTCCTTTAACGAGGATGAGGGAGACCTGCCCGAGTGGTTCACGGAGGAGGAGAAGCAGCACCGGCGCAAGCAGGTCCCCGTGGACCGGCAGACGGTGGAGGCGTACCGGCAGCGCTGGAAGGAGATCAACGCCCGCCCCATCAAGAAGGTGGCAGAGGCCAAGGCCCGCAAGAAGCGACGGGTGAGTTGGGGCCGTGGTCCTGCACCACAGTCCTTGCCTTGAAAACTGCCCAGGGAGGTGGCTGAGGCACCATCCCTGGAGGTGTTCAAAAGACGGGTTGATGTAGTGCTGGGAGGTCTGGTTTAGTGATGATGCTCCTTGTTTGTTGTGTGGGTGTCTATTTTTGTCCAAGTGAGGTTGACGGTTGGACAAGATGATCTTTAAGGTCCCTTCCAACCTAGAAGATTCTGTGATTCTGTGGGAAGGAGCTCCGTTTCCCCCCCTCCCAGATCTCTGTCCCTCCTCCCGTTCCCCTTGTCCGTCACCTTTTGCTGTCCCCACAGATGCTGAAGAAGATGGAGCAGATGAAGAAGAAAGCAGAGGCCGTGGTGAGCACGGTGGATATCTCGGAGAGGGAGAAGGTGGCCCAGCTGCGACGGTGAGTGGTGGAGCTGAGATCTGGATCCTTCATGTTATGCTGGGCTTGTTCCCCAGGTTCCCCATGCCTTGTCCCCGTGGCCACAGCACAGGGAGGGCTCCTGCACATGGCTGCAGGTCTGGCAGATGCCAGGCTGGATCTGGGTGCAGGCTGAGGGGCAGCAGGGCACCCCATCTTGGGGTACAGAGGCCCAGAGGGGTGACAGGACCCACTCTTGCTCTTTGGACATGTCCTAAAGCCAAACTGGTCTCCCCTTTTTGTCATTCTCCCACAGCATCTACAAGAAGGCTGGGCTGGCCAAGGAGAAGCGGCAGGTCACCTACTTGGTGGCTAAGAAGGGTGTAGGACCTCGCGTGCGTCGTCCTCCTGGCGTCAAGGGCCAGTTCAAGGTCGTCGACAGCCGCCTGAAGAAGGACGTGAGGGCTCAGAAGCGCAAGGAACAGAAGAAAAAACGCCATAAGTGATGTGGGACTGGCTCCCTCCTCAGGGAGGGACCTCAGGCACGGGGCAGGGCTGGCTCCTGTCCTCCCACGGTGGCCTTGGGAGCAGCCAGCTCGTCCTGCCTCTCCCCCGTCATGGGGACAGGACTGTGACAGCCACACGTGCCTTGATGTGACATTCCCTCCTGTCTGCTGGTGGCACAGGGAGGGTTTCTTTCACCTCAGCGCTGGACCATCGACCCCCTTCCTGTGCCACATCTCCAGGAGTGTCACCATTGCTGGCTTTGCTGGAAGACTTTTGCTCTGTGGAGATGACACGAGCAGCCACGCCAGCCCTGGCTGTCCCCAGAGAGGTTGTGGCTCATGGTGACAGCTCCCTGGGCCACGTTTTGTCACCGAGGTGGCAGGATGGTGGGTGCTGAGCCCTCAGGCAGGTGGCTGTCGGTCTGCAGAGAACAGCTCCTCGCTTTGAGCAGAACTAACCCCAGGTCTGAGGCTGCACCAGGACGTGTCCTGCGTCGTGACGAGGTGAGGGGCCTGTGCTGGGACCTGCCACGTCCCTTTGCACGCTGCAGAAAGAGGGGTGCAGGGTGGATGGGGTCCCTGCACCTCTGCCAATGCCTCCACGGAGCCCCCCTACCTCAGGCCACCTCCTTTTATCCCTGGTGGAGGAGCTGAGGAGCGGCTGGGCTGCCCTGCAGCCACTGGGCTGCCGTCCACCTCCTGTCCCCAGCAGCCACCCTGTCCCCACCACCCCTCAAGCCCTAACCCCTCCTGGTGTGGGACCTGGGAAGCACAAGAAAAACCAAGAAAAAAATCCATCCTTGAGAAAATGTCTTTATTTAGACCTAGGGCGGGGGGAATGTGGCTTCTCCAAGTGCTTGAACCTGTTTTGGGGGCCATTCTCAGGTCCCTCTTGGTGACAGTAGCACCAATATTGGCTGGGAGGAGGCTGGGGTAGCGCTGTGGCTCTCAGAGCAAGATGGGGTCAGTGGTGGTGGGGACCTGCTGGGGAAGGGACAGTTGGACTGGGAAGGAGGTCTTGGTCCTGTTCAAGTGCTGTGGGGAGTGGAGAGGCCAGACCTGCTGCCCCTGGGGGGGACATGCACAGGGGTGTCCCTGTAAAGCCACCACTTGGCTGCTCAACCACAGTGTCAGGGGCTTGTAGAACAGCAAAATGTTGGCCATGGCTCTGTGAGGTCCTTGTGGGGTGGGAGCTGTGTTACAGGGAGAAGTGGCTGAGTCCAGAGCGAGCCATGCCATGAGCACCTTGGGGCCACCTTCTGTCCCCCGTGGAGGGTGGGAGCAGAGAGCAGGGGCTGTCCCAGTCCTCGGTGGCTGAGGAAGTCGGGGCGAGCGGAGGGGACTGGCTGCCAGGCTTCAGGCTGTGCTAGAAGTTTCCCTCCTCCTCACTGTCAGCTTCAAAATGAAATATGGGCAAGCTGTGAGAGGAGACCCCAAGAGGAGAGACCCACTGCCCCCCCAGCCACCCTTGGCTGTCCCTGTCCCTCCACCTGAACCCCAGCCCTGGGATCTCGCTGTTTCACCCCCTGTGTGACCCCAAACCCATGGAGGGGAGCTCTGCAGGTGGCACAGGAGACAGGCCAGGTCTCATGGGGGGTCTGAGACCCCTGGAAAGGGCACAGCTCCCCTCTGCACCCCACAACCTGGACCCTTGGGTCCTCCCGGACCTCTAACTCCCCAAGCTCTGGCCAGCAAGTCCCCATCAGTCAATCCTGGCTGGGGTCCTCCATCCCCACTCGCTACCCCCCTTCCCCTGGGTCTGGGGGCTCAGCACGGTCCAGGTGGGCCCTTTGGAGTTGGTGGGTCCCCATCAGGGTCCTAGTGGTGGGGTGACTCCTCTGTCCTTACCTGAGCTGCAGGGTGCACTGTAGGCAGCATCCGTGCGGTCACCTGCAAGGGGAAGGACCCATGGCCTCAGGGCGAGTGCCTCCCACTAATGAGCCATAGCTCATCAAGGTGAGCTGACAGCTCAGGCAGACCCCGCTCTGAGCCACTGGGGTGGCAATGGGGCCAGACACCCCATGGCCATGTCCCTGGTGGGGCTCACCTGTCTCGTAGTAGTCGTACAGCGTGACGGTGGCTGGCTGGAGGTTCCTCACCGGGAAGTCCTGCGTGGTGGTGAAGGCGAAGGTCTCCTCCGTCTTGGGCAGCTGTGGAGACAGCCCAAGGGTGAGGTGTGACCCTGCCCTGTGGGGAAGCACCCCCATGTCCCCAGCACCAGGGTTCTGCTCCTGTCCCTGTGCCACGTCTCACCTGGTCCAGGTAAATCGTCACCTGGTCGGGCTGCACCTCCACCTTCTTCACCAGCCTCTGCATCTTCAGCTGGAGGGACACAGACCAGGGTGGGCAACAGCTTCTTGGTGTGGGTGCCCTAACTGGGGCCAGCACCCTGGGGTGGGTGGGGGTCCTGGGGGCAGCGGGGGCTTCTAACCTCCACCATGGAGCTCTTGTCCGGGATGAAGCCGGATGGCAGCTTGGCCTCGATGACAACCATGTTGGTGGTGGCACGTTCCCCGGTGTATCTGCAAGGGCAGAGCCCCGGGGTGGGCTTGGGGTCTTCCCTCCTTCCTCGGCTGCTCCCAGGTCCCCCCCCAAACCAGGGGGCAGCCTTACCGTGCCCGGAGGAGGAGCTGGAAGCGGGTGCTGGCATCCCCCGTGCACTCCCTGGGCTCCGTCTCCACGTGGAGGTCGAACGTCCCCGGGCTCGGAGGGGGTGGCACGTTATAGCGCAGGGTCACCTGGGGTGACATAGAGTCATAGAATGGTCTAGGTTGGAAGAGACCCTTGGGAGCATCGCGGCCAACCATCTCCCCTACTCTACAAAGTCCTCCCCTACCCCATGTCCCTCAGCACTGCATCTAAACGGCCCTTAAACACAGCCAGGGATGGGGACTCCCCCCCCTCCCTGGGCAGCCTGTTCCAATGCCCGACCACTCTTTGGGTGAAAAATTCCTTCCTAATGTTCAATCTAAACCTCCCCTGTTGGAGCTTGAAGCCGTTCCCTCTCGTTCTGTCACTAATTACCTGTGAGAAGAGACCAGCACCAACCTCTCTACAGTGTCCTTTCACGAAGTTGTAGAGAGTGATGAGGTCTCCCCTCAGCCTCCTCTTCCTCACACTAAACAGCCCCAGCTCCTTCAGCCGCTCTTCATATGATTTGTCTTCTGGGCCCTTCACTAGTTTCGTTGCCCTCCTCTGCACTCGCTCCAGCACCTCCAGATCTCTCTTGGATTGAGGTGCCCAAAACTGGACACAACACTCCAGGTGTGGCCTCCCCAGTGCTGAGTCCAGGGGCACAATCACCTCCCTACTTCTGCTGGTCACACTATTTTTGATACTATTTGATACTATTTTGACATGGGGGGGTGTGTGTGTGTGTGTTAGAGCCACCCAGTGGGCACCAGAGGTGGTCGAGGACCCTGGGCTGGACCCACCTGCACCAGGGCACAGCCTTGCCCGTGGGCTCGTAGCCCGTAGGTGCCCGGCAGCTCCTGCAGGGCCGCCCGCTGCAGCACCAGCCGGTTGCTGTTGTGCAGCACAAAGTCCTGCGCCGTGCCCACGGGGGATGTCACCGTCACCGCGTAGTCCCCGCTGCCGCTGTACGTCAGGGTGGCATACTTTGCCAGGGCTTGCAGGGCCACCACAGTGTCCTGGGAGTGGAGAAAGCACCGAGCCGGGGTCACCCCTAATGGGGGAGGTGATGCTTGGAGGAGACCCCTTACCACCCCCGGTGTCGGTACCTGCGTGGAGGCGAAGCCCCCGTAGGGGTTTTGCTGCCTGCTGAGCCAGCGGACGATTTGGGAAGCGGTCGCCAGGTCGTCAGAGGACACTTGGGGCTGGGAGAGGTAGGCCAGGAGGACGTAGGCGGTCATCTCCACCTCCGCCGGCATGGCGGCTGCCCAGGAGGGCTGCGAGGAGGGGGGAGCCTTCCCCTTCCTTCCCCAGGAGAGCAGCCCCTCTGGGAGAGAAGGGGATGGGAGAGAAGGTGGATGGGAGAGAAGGTGGATGGGAGAGAAGGTGGATGGGAGCTCAGCTCCCTGCTCTAGGGATCCTGGGGTGGCATGGGGTGACCCAGGCAGAGGGTGGCACTGCCCGGAGGTGCCCCTCACCCGCTCCGGGTGGTACCTGCGCTGATGCTGTGCTGGGCCAGGCTCTGCAGCTGGGCTCGCTGCTGCTCCCTGCGCCCCGCCAGCCCGAAGACGTAGGCGAGCAGCGCCTGGGTGTAGAGATCGTCCGTGGCCGAAGCCTCCAGGCACTTCAGGGCTGAGGTCACCATCAAGTCCTGCCACGGGAGCAGAGTCAGGAACCAGCCCACGGGCATGGGCAACCCATGGAGAGCCCCGGTTCTTGGCCAGTGAGGCCAGTCACAGCCAGGTCAGGCTGTGGAAGTGGCACAGAACAGCCAGAGTCCCTGTCCCAAACACCCGTTCCCTGCCCCACCAGCCCCTCTGGGGAAGAATGGGGTCATCCTCACCATTGGGGACAGCCCCAGCTCCAGCATCGCAGCCGTGACGTAAGCCGACAGCGAGAGCTCGTCCGAGACACCACCCTGCAAAGGGGACAGCAGGAGATCATAGAATTATAGAATCATGGAATGGTTTGGGTGGGAAGGGACCTTAAAGCCCCCCCAGTGCCACCCCCTGCCCTGGGCAGGGACACCTCCCACCACACCAGGTTGCTCCAAGCCCCCTCCAACCTGCCCTTGAACCCCTCCAGGGATGGGGCAGCCACAGCTTCTCTGGCCAACCTGGGCCAGGCTCTCACCACCCTCACACCAAACAAGTTCTTCCCCACAGCTCAGCTCCATCTCCCCTCTTGCAGGGTCCAACCCTTCCCCCTCCTCCTAGGGCTTCCCTCCCTCATCCACAGTCCCTCCCCATCTCTCCTGGAGCCCCTTGAGGGACTGGAAGAGGCTCGAAGGTCCCCAGAGCCTTCTCTTCTCCAGGCTGAACCCCCTGCAGAGGTTCTCCAGTCCTCTGATCATCTTCATGGGTCAGGCCATGCCACCCTCAGAGGGACCCCCCCCCCACTGCTTAGACCACACACTGGGGACATGCTGGGGGCCAGCCTGGCTCTGGATGCATGTCCCCATGTCCCACCTGCAGGGCGTTGTTGAAGAGCTTCCCCACGCTGCGGAAACAGCCCGTCTTCCTCTGCTGCTTGTGCAGCCAGCGCAGCGCGTCCGCGATGTGCCGCTCCTCGATGGCCACGTAGGCTCGGGCTTGCCCGAAGGACTTGAGGACAAAGGCCGTCAGCCTGCGAGCCAGAGGGATGTTGGAAAAAACCCAAATCTGGGGCACCCTTGGTGGCTGGAGGAGCCCTGGGGCAGCCAGTCCTTGGAGGGGGGACCTGCCCAAGCCCCATCTGGTCCCTCACCAGGTGTTGCCGCTGGAATCGCTCTTCCCGAAGGCGCTGTAAGAGCCATCGTCGTGTTTGTAGAGCAGCTCCCGCTGGTACCCTGCAGGGAGGAGGTGGGGATGAGTCTTTACACGGCCGTTTCCACATCCCCGGGGGATCCTAGAGGCTGCCCACAGCCCAGACCCACCCCAGGGAAGGGGGGGGACATGGGGTGGTGGTGTCCCTGGGCAGCGAGGCGGGGTGTGACAGGGAGATGGGGAGTTTGGGGACGCTCACCGCTCTGCAGGAAGCCCTGCGCCTTGGCCCGGATGTCGGGGCGCAGCTGCTTGCTCTTCTCCAGGTACTGCTGGATGTAGATGTTGGGGGCGAAGCGGACCATGTTCTGCTCCCCACAGCCATAGGGCATGGCCAGGAGGGAGTCCAGGTTCTGCAGAGCATTGCCGATGATGTCACCTGTCCCAGGGAGGGGATATGAGGAGCACCATCATGGGCTGTGTCCCCCGTATTCCCCCCCATCTCAGCTCTGGGTGATCCCACCTCCTATCTCAGCTCTGGGAGATCCCACCTCCCACTGAGCTCGGGCCATGGAGCTCTACATCCTCCCTGCCCGAGGTGGTCACGTGTCCCTTACCCATCACAGTGACATGGGCTCGCTGGGAGCCCTCCAAGATGTTTGCAGGAACCTCCAGGGAGATTTCTTCAGTGGCTGTGGGGTTGGAGGACAACAACTTGGTGGGCATGCCCAGCTCCTCCTGGCCTGGCCCCATGGCACCCTTGCCCACCCTCTTCCTGCTCTGACCCTCCATGGGCTCAAGGCTGGGTCGGGGCACCTCAGCCAGGAGCTCCTAGGGACCCTGGTCCTTGGCTCCTCTGGCCTGGTGGCCCTTGTGAGTAGTGGCCAAGCATCCCTGCCCCACATCCCCACGGCGCTGCCAGACACCCCCAGCCAGTCCTACCTTCCTGGCAGAGCAGGGAGTTGTGCGCCTTCTCCACCAGGATCCCCCCGGGCTGTGGGGAAGCAGTATCAGAGTGGGTCAGGACAACGGACTGGCCACGTCCCCATGTCCTCCAGCATCATGTCTGAAGCCCAGCTTTGGGGCTGGTTGCTGTCCCACCCCCTGTCCCCCCACTGCAGCCCAAGGGCTGCTCGGACCCTGTCCCCAAATCCATCCCACTTTCCTCCTCCATAACCCGTCTGACCTGCACCAGCAAGGGCTTTATCACGGTGTCCACATGCCCTTGGGCTGGCACCACAGGCATCTCGTTGCCACAGAGCTCCTTGGAGCTCAGGGCCTCGGTGCTGACAGTGATGTTCACCTCCCCTGCAGATGCAAGCGAGGTACTCAGTCCCCACGCAGCCCCAACCCCAGCCCACACTGCAGCCCCACAGCCTTGCGTCAGCCCTGGGGCTTTGTGTGGGGCTGGCTGGATCGGGGTGGGGGTCACCAGGTTGAGGAGCAGCGCTGGGAGGCAATGGGGAGGGTGCAAGTGGAGCAGAGAAGAGCTTCCCAGGTGGCATTGCATTTGCTCCTGTCCTCCTTGCCCACACAGTCCTCCAAGGGGGTCCCCAAGCAGCAGGGCAGGGGGGTCTCGTGGTGGCCCCGGTGCTCTGTACCCAGGCTGGTGGCTCGCACGCCCCATCGGAAGGTCCTGGCTTCATCTGCGCAGATGCAACCACCATATTCCTCCTCTGCGCTCGCCAACACCTCCAGCTTTTCTGACTCCGCCAGCGTCACCTGAACCTGCCAGACCATGGCCACGGCTCCATCAGTCCCTGCTGGACCCCAGCCCCACGGCCCCCTCCCCAGCCCCACTCACCCTCAGGCACTGCCGCAGGTAGTTGAAGACGGTGGCCACGAGGGTGAAGGCTTCATGGCGGACCACGGCGTAGGGCAGAGCCAGCTCCACGAAGAAGGGTTTGAAGGCCGTGAGGGTGGTGTCAGGGGCCATTCCCAAGCCCAACGGGGACGTGCAGAACATCCCAGCTTTCCACTCGGTGATGGCATCAGGCACTGTCAGCGCCATCTCTGCAGAGCCGCCCTCCCTGTGGGATGGAGAACACCACGAGACCATCCCACCACCTTCACCCACAGCTGGTGTCATCCCCAGCTGGGCTGACTCTCTCCATGTTGGAGAACGAGCCATCCTGAGGTCCCCAAATTCCCTCCATGCAGGGGAGCAGACCGGCCCTCATGGGGACCATCCTCACTCACCCCACGGGGACCAGGTCCCACAGCCACGTCTCTGGGAAATACGTCCGGGGTGCTGGTGGCTCTTTCCGGACAGCGCCGAATGGGATATTTTCCTCCCACGCGTCTTTGGAAACATCACTTAAACTCAAAGCGGGGAATGGAGCACCAAGACCAACTGGAAAAGACAGAGCAGAAATTAGGGTCCACAGGTCTCTGCATCTCATCTGGGCCTGAAGGGGCCCAAAATCCTTTTCAATACTTAATCCCTTTGATGCTGAGTGTATTTTCTGAGTCCCCCCCCCCGAGGACACGGGAGCCAGGACTGGGCACCAGCTCCTTGGTGCTTTTCTCCTGAGAGGAGGGAGGGAGCTGAAGGCTGTGCTGACCTATGGGACCTGCAGGCCCCGCAAGCCCGGGCGTGTGGAACATACTTTTGCAAACATCGCTGGTGTTGGCATTGGTGAAAAGTTTCAGTGCTGCGTCCTGTGAACAAGAAAAGAGGTTGTCCATCTCCAAAACACAGCAGGAAGGATATCCCCATCCCCGCGGTGAATAATCATAGAATCATAGAATCATAGAATTGCCCAGGCCGGAAGGGACCTCCAAAGGCCATCTAGTCCGACCCCCCCGCAGTCAGCAGGGACACCCCCAACTAGACCAGGTTGCCCAGGGCCTCGTCGAGCCTCACCTTGAATATCTCCAGGGATGGGGCCTCAACCACCTCCCTGGGCAACCTGTTCCAGTGCTCCACCACCCTCCCAGTGAAGAACCCTCTCCTCATCTCCAGTCTAAATCTGTTCCCCTCCAGCTTGAAGCCATTGCCCCTCGTCCTGTCACTGCAGGCCTTTCTAAACAGGTTCTCCCCAGCCTTCCTGTAGCTCCCTTCAGGTACTGGAAGGCTGCTATTAGGTCTCCCCAGAGCCTCCTCTTCTCCAGGCTGAACAACCCCAGCTCCCTCAGCCTGTCCTCGTAGCAGAGGTGCTCCAATCCCCTGATCATCCTTGTGGCCCTCCTCTGGACCCTCTCCATCAGGTCCATGTCCTTCTTATATTGAGGGCTCCAGCCCTGCACACAATACTCCAGTTGAGGTCTCACTAGAGCAAAGTGGCAGGGCCACATAGTCACAGGGCCCGCAGAATAAGACAAGCGGAGAAGAACTGGAGCCAGGGGTCCATGGGAAAGACCTTGGCCACCAGTGTGGCTTTCACGGGACGTTGCCGTGCTTTCCTGGCACCCTGGGCAAACCACAGCTGGCTCCTGGATGAGGAGGAACCAGGAGGCACAGGCAGGGCCTTTTACCTGAAATAACTTGTAGGTCTCCATCTTGGAACCGCCCCATATAGGGGGAGGTAAGAAATGCCTCCTTTCGAAATGAAATGGGCCTAGCGGCTCCGGGAAGTCGGGCATGGGAAAGTAGGGGACATGCTCCTCAAAAAATCCTGGACAGGGCCGTGGGTCTCGAATGCCGAGGTGGTTGAATTTGGGGAGTAGGTTGTAGACCTGGGAATAAACATGTGTGCTAGGTACAAAACCAGGCAGGCACCTACCCCCTGCCCGGGAGCCACCATGGCGCCGAGTCCCTGTAGGGGAGGTCCAAGCCCAGTGTCATGCCCAGCTGGTCCCTGGGGCTGTGCCACCACTCACTGCCTCTACGTTGAGCTCAGCCTCGGGCTTCAAGAGCACCACGCTGCGGTCCACGGCACGGACAGCACACAGGGACCCCGGGGCAGCCTTCAGCTCCAGCCGCAGCCCCGAGCCGGGCAGAGCCCTGTCCTCCGAAAAAGCTATCTTCACCTGGAAAGGGACAGGGACATCAGGGGGCAAGGGCAGGAGGGGGAGCCACCTCCCATGGAGGAGCAGGACCAACCCACGGATGTGGAGGTCTCTTCTAGACAGGGATAAAATCAGGCTTGAGGGTTTGGGGATCAAGCTGTGACGCTGCGGTACAACTGGAGAGAACAGACATCAGGACATGCAGCTGTGGACAAGCCATGGAATGGTTCCCCCAACTCTGGCAAGCTCCGCTCACCTTGTTGGGGAAGCACTTGGCCACATTGAGCTCGATGCTGTCAGCCGTCATCTCACCGTTGGGCAGCACCACGTAGCCCAGCACCTTGGCCATGGGTGCCAGCTCGGGGCCAATGGGCAGCTCCAGGGAGAAGGAGCCTCTCATCCCTGGGAAAGGAGGGGAGATGAGGACCAGGCATGGAGACCAGAGCCTTGCACAGCCCGTACATGCCTTGGCACCTACCATCTGCTACAGGCAGCTCTTTCCTGAGGACGGTGGCAATGGTCCCCTTGGCCAAGACCTACGGAGGAAATGAGAACACTAAAACCAATGCTGAGCAGGGAACTCAAATGTCTTGATGGAGGATGGAACAAAGGGCGAGACCGTTGATATGGCTTTTGACCTTGGAAATGAGAACACTAAAACCAACGCTGAGCAGGGAACTCAAATGTCTTGATGGAGGATGGAACAAAGGGCGAGACCGTTGATATGGCTTTTGACCTTGCCCAGTCTCCAATCCTCCCCACATCTCCTGTTGGAATGAAGGTCCAGCAGTACCAGCAGACATCTCTACTACCAAGCAAGGGTCCCTCAGTCTAGCCAGGACAGATTACTCATTGTCATAGAATCATGGAATGGTTTGGGTTGGAAGGGACCTTAAAGTCCCTCCAGTGTCACCCCCTGCCCTGGCAGGGACACCTCCCACCACACCAGGTTGCTCCAAGCCCCCTCCAACCTGCCCTTGAACCCCTCCAGGGATGGGGCAGCCACAGCTTCTCTGGACAACCTGGGCCAGGCTCTCACCACCCTCACACCAAACAAGTTCTTCCCCACAGCTCAGCTCAATCTCTCTTCTTTCAGTGTCAAACACTTCCCCCTCCTCCTAGGGCTCCCCTCCCTCATCCAGAGTCCCTCCCCAGTCTCTGGAAGGGGCTCTAAGGTCTCCCCGGAGCCTTCTCTTCTCCAGGCTGAACCCCCCCAACTCTCTCAGCCTCCCCTCCCAGCAGAGGGGCTCCAGCCCTCGCAGCATCTCCATGCACTCCTCTGGCCCCCCTCCAACAGGTCCATGTCCTTCATTGTCTTGTCCTCAGGACATTACTGTGAGCGTGTGTGTAGATGTGGACCTTAACACACCACCTCCCTAATGCCAATTGCCCTCCCTCCCTGGGCCAGGGCTCACCAGAAAGACCACATCCAGGCTCTCTGACTCAGTCCCCAAGGCCGCCTTTGTGAAGATGTAGTCCACCCAGAGCTGCTGGGGCTGGCCACAGGGCAGCTCTCTCTCCAGCTGGCGGATCTGCAGGAAGCTCTTGCTTGCTGAGAAGAAGGGGCTGAGGGATGCGTAGGCATCTTGGTAGGTGCCACTGTTCTGGTTGTTAAGCGTCCTGTTGACTTGAGCCTGTGTGATGGAGGTAGAAATCAGGGTGGTGGAGCCATCCAGCAGCCCATGAGGTGCTGGTCCTAGTGCCAGGCACCACTGATGGCAAACTCTCTGGCTTGGAGAGTTGTCCAGCCCCCTACTACTGGAGAAAGCACCACAGGGACTCCCAAGGTGTGGGAGATGGGTCACTTACATGCAGGCTGACTGTGTCACTCCAACCAGAGGTTTCCAGCTCGAAGGAGACTCTCCCTGAACTGTCTGTCAGGAAGGTATGAGTCTTAGATTTTCCTTGGTGCGTAACGAAGAGCGAGAGCTCCTTATGTGGCAGCACGGTGCCAGCAGCTCCTGTCAGCAGCATCTGAAGATGGATGGGGAGATGCCCCAGGTTGGGCTGCAGGCATGGGGCAAAGGGCAGGGGTGGGAGAGCAGGGCTGAGGGGGTCAGCAGGGGCAGGACAGGGTGCACGGGAACCCTGCAGGGTGCAGGGACACCCCCCTATTACCGTCCCACTGTAGGGGATGCCGGGCTTGTAGAAATAATGGGTGTTTTTGAAGATGACAGTGATGGTTTCACGTAAAATCTCGCAGCTCTTGGTGTTTTTCTGCTCCAGCCCTGTGGAGAGGGAGTGGGGAGCTGAGGGTGTTGCAGGGACGCAGGGTAGAGGTTCCAGTGCTGCCAGATCCCCTGCCACGGTGCAGACAAGGTCCCTGGATATTTTGAGCTTTCCCTCTGCAGCTGGCAGCCTTGAGCACAGTCTGCACCTCCCACAAGAGGAGCAAAACCTCTACAGCATGTTTTAGACCTAAAACCGGGGTGCAGCTGACTTCAGAAAAGGCTCTTTGCCAAAGCACTGTGGTGCAAGGCCAGTGAGCCTGGGGACAACCCCTAGTCTCCTTTGTTTTTTTCCTGAAGTCAAGCTGCTGGCATTCATTTCTGGGGTGACCGAGGTCGTGGGTGAGGGAGGCTGGAAGGAGGAAGCCACACCACTGGACGGGGTGGAACCCCTGCTTTGCATTGCAAGGACTCGACCGGCTGCTAGCTGTAGCATCAGGAGAGTTGTTGGATCTTGGAAAGGCATTTCTGCCTCCCGACCATCCCTCTGGTCAGAATTAGAAGTATTGCCCGGCCGACCTGGCTCACGTCCCCACCTGGACCCTCTCCCTGCACACACGCACCCCTAAACCACAGCGTCGTTTTGAGGCTTCCCTGGAGAAGACCAATACCCTCAGGCCATGCCACGTGCATTTGGGTGCACGCAGGGATGAACACAAAACCATGCACCTGCAGCAATGCCCCTTCCCAAGCAGGAGAACATCGCCATCCCTACCTGTCCCATCCTCCACCAGCGATGCCTGGACTTGGAATCGCTTCCCATAGTTGAATCTGGTCATGTTGAAGGCAGCCAATGAAACCTCTGTTGAAAAGCAGCCATTCTTCTCAGTCTGGAGGGAGAGAGTTGCCCCCGTTAGCAGCAGTCCCAGGCTGGGGATGTCCCAGTGGCACCCGTGCTCCCCCGTTGTCCTCACCTGCCCGCTAACCTCGATGCAGGTCTCCACGGGTTCGAACCAGTTCCTTCGTCCCTGCTGGCACAAGTTGGCCTGGACCTTCCCCTGGACGGGCTTCCCGTAGGTGTACCTGTTGGGTGGAGGGTGGTGAGGGTGTGCCTGATGGACCACGGCACGTTGGATCCATCCCCTCCCTCTTCCCAGCACAGCCTGTTTTGGGCTCACCGTCCACAAATCTCCACCTGGACATTCTTGTCCTCCAGCACCACGGCGGGGAGGCCAATGGTCACCTCAAATTTGGGCAGCACTAACGGAGAAGCAAAGGGAGAGAGGGTTGTTCCTCCCAGGACAAGGACAACGGTGCATGGGTGGCCGGAGGGGCCAACACATGCTGTCCACAGGGACATGACAGGGTGGGGGTGTCCCCACCCATGCATGGTCCCTGCGTACCGTATTCCTCCACGCTGAAGGAGTGGCTCTTCCCCTTCACCTCGATGATGTACGTGCCCAGGGCTGGCTCCGCAGCCAGCGGGAGGGACAGGTCCACGATGCCCTGCCGTGGGCTCACCTCCTGCCACTGCGCGATGCGGTTGTGGTTGGGATCCTGCACAGGGGGACACGCAGCCTCAGCACCCCAGGGAGCCCAGCACCCGGTGACAAACAGCCCATGGCTGCCTTAGGCATCTCCTCTCCCAGCCATGCTGCCTTCCCCAGCCCACACCACCCAGGAGCCTCCCTCCATCTCTCAGACTGACCTTCAGGACCACAAGGGGCAGCTGCAAGGCAAAGAGAAGATGGTTAGGGGAGAAATTCCAAGCCTTCCTTGGGGTCTCATCAGAGTGGGAACACCTCAGGAGCCGTGGAGAGTGAGGGCTATTTGGGGGATGCTGTGAACTTCCAACCCTTCAATTTGCTTCGGGGTTGATTTGCCCAGGGAGGTGGTGGAGTCACCATCCCTGGAGGTATTTATGAAACGTATAGCCATGCCTCTTCAGGGCATGCTCTGGTGCCCAAGGTTATTGGTTTATGGTGAGGTGTTGAGTGTGGGGTTTAGTTGGTGGGTGCGGTGTTTTTGGTGGGCGTTTGGTGTGGTGTGTTTTGTATTTGTTTTTTGGGTTGTTTGTTTGTTTGTTTGTTTTTTGTGGTTGGACTCGATGATCTCAGAGGTCCCTTCCAACCACTAAGATTCTGTGATTCTGTGATTTTGAGCCTGTGTGCGGCTCCAGCTGGGGTGAGCCAAGGGCACTGCCAGCATGACAAGGGGAGGTGGCATCTCCTAGAGCCTTCACAAGACGCCAGCAACCATTCCATTTGGGGACCTCCTGCACTTCCAGAGACCCAGATGATTGCCCAGGGGTGCCAGAGACTGAGCTCGCCTGTAAATCCTGGTGTCTGATGGCTTGATGGACATCAAGAGCTCTTTGCCTCCTTCCCACTTACCATCCCTACATCCCTAACCAAACGTTTAGTGGGTGTGTTCCCATGTCACACGTGCAATCCTGCTTTCTCTTTCCTTAGCCTGCCGAAGCCTGTGTGAGCAGCACCGGGCATCCCTGCCCCTGGGGAGCACAACCACCCAGGCAGAGCTGGCTGGGGCAGGATTCCCAAGGGGAAAGGCGCTGGTTGACTCCCACACCTCTCTCACGGCTCTCTGAGGCTGTAGGAGGGCAGCGCAGAGGAGCCCTGTCACCTCCCCCCCCTTCCCCAGCCTTTCTCTCACCTTCTTATTGCTGGCAGTGAAGTCTTTATCCAGAGAGACAATTCGAAACTTCACTGGAAAGGGCAAACAAGGACGCGGGAGTGAGTGGTGGGTGCATCAGCCAGGGGAGGGCGGTTCCCCACGGAGAAGGTGGATGGAAGCCCACCCCGAGCCCCGCAGTGGGGCACTGCCCCCCAAGCAGCACAGCCTCCAGTGCTGCTGTCACATCCTGGCATTGCCCTGGGCCGGTGCTGGGGGTCTCAGTGCCTCCCAGGATGAGCCCTCCTCTTCCCATGCAGAGCAGGAGCAAGGCTGAGCTTCCTGCACCCCTCTCCCACCAGGTTCTTCAGCCTGGAGCAGGGTGGTCCATCCTGCTGCCCTCACCTTGCTGTCCAGGCTTGTAGACAGCCTTGTCTGTCTGTATGAAGATCCCAGGCTCCAGGGCTCTCAGTATCACCGGCTTCTTCTCGGAGACATCCAGGGAATCTCCCTGGATGGAGACGTGCAGGTCTACGATTTCCTCCTTCCCTCTGGTGGGGGCTGGAGCCTGTCAGGGGAAACACCAGGCACTGGGTGAGGACAAGGGATATGCCATGGCCAGGATGCTCTGCTGACTCTGAGTGACCCAGAGCACTCCTCACCCACAGGAGACACCTTCCCCAAGCCAGGGGCTGGGAAGAAATGTCCCCCCAACACCCTGCCCTAGTCTGCAGGTCTGCTCCTGGGTGATTATTTCAGCTCCGAATAACTGGGCTGAACCTAGAGTTGTTCTGCCTGCATGGGGGGTGAGATCCTACCAGGAGATGGGGAAGTCATGCCAGCTCCCATCCTCCTCCAGCTGCAGAGCTTAGGGCTGTGCAGCAGCACAGGGACCACAGCCTGGAGACAGTGGCATGTCCAGGGTGTCCCCCTCCATGCTTACGGCTGTGCACAGGGTGACACTCACAGGAAAGGTGACGTTCAGGTACAGACGAGGCTCCTGGACCTCCCTCTCCAGCAGCGTGATGTTATGGGTCCTGTCTCGTCTCTGAAGCTGGATGGTCACCTGGACAGGCTTGTGGAGGCCACTGAGATGGACCCACAGCATCGATGTGTAGGGGTGGTAGAACACAGCTGGGGACGTGACCACATAGTTCCTGGCAAGGAGAAGTGCTGACATGAGAGGTGTCTGGATGAGGCACATCCCAGTAGAGACTCCAAGGAGGACTTGAAGGGCTCCTGGGTGCACAGAGCCCTCTGCAGGGGTGCAGGGCCACCTCCCCCAACCTCCCCACTCTGCTTCTGGCCTCCCCTTGACTTCCTGGCTCAGGAAGACAAAGGTTCTGCTCACACATGGGCTGCAAGTGAGGCAGCACCTACAATAAACCACCCCAGAGACACCAGCCCCCAGGTACCAAGTCCTTGATGGTCACGGGCAGGGACAACCCACCAGCCTGAGCACTTCCATCCTGGCCAACAATCACACAGGAAGGATTAGATCCCACCACGTACTGCCAAGGAGTCAAGACTAAATGCCTCCCACCAGGCACAGACAGACAGAGAGACAGACAGACACAGAGAGGGCTTACGGTGCTGCAAATGCCCCAGCTGTGAGGTGCAGCATGAGGAGCAGCAGGATGGGCAGGACAGCCAGGGACCTCATGTCTCCAGCTGTAAGTGGACGCTGGGGATGGCCACAGCCTCCTTTCTCCAGGTGCTGGATTGCTGTAGATCCAACTCTGCTCCTCTAACAGGCTCTGGAATGAGATCTTTGCTTTCTGCCCAGCGAGAAAACACGGGCTGGCAGCGGGATCCAACGTGGACCTGCAGATATAGCCAAGGTAATGTTTACTGTCTGCCCACAGCCTCCCAGGTTCAAGGCTCTGATGGATTTTTGCAATTTGAGGAGAGGTTCCTATAGGCTATAGAGGTTTGAAACCAGGGGGCAGGACCCACCTACGCACTGGTTTTGCTGGGAAATGATGGCAGTAATGAAATGAAAGTAAGCAGCACCATCATGAGAAGAGCCTGTGAGCTGGTGGTGATTTCTCAGAAGGGCTTGTTCCCAGGCGTTTTAAATTTAGGCAAACAGCAGCTGTTTGGCCTGATAGCAGGTCTCAGGCTGTGTTTTTGCCCAGTTTCTTCCAATTTAATCAAATCAGTTGTGGGCACAGGAGCAGGACAGGGTTGGGCTGTTGTGACAGGTTGTGACACTCTCATTACTCCGTGCACTGCACCCGGGAGCCGGACACTGCCCAGGACATGAGCTGAGCTGCCTCCTTCTGTCCTGGTGGGAGAGTTGAGGCAGCTCCAAGACAGCCACATAGTGTCCTGAGTGCATCCCCTGCTCCAGGGTTCTGCCATCTCCTCCCCTTTGGGGACACGGGACACATCGTGGGAAGACACAAAGGGGGCTGACCCCTTTCCTGTGGGCTCTGGGATGACCACAGCTGCTGTCCTCACGCCTGCCCTGCTCAGGTGTTGCTGGATACAGCCCTGTGGCCACCTCCCTGCCCTTTGGGAGCAGCCCCACATGGTGTCGGGGTCCATAGGAGGCTGGTCCCCACCACCCTCACAGATGTGAGAGCTGAGCGTGGCTCTGATCCCATCCTGCTACCTAAGGGGTGGGTCAGTGCCCCACTGAGCATCTCGGGGGTGGTCCAGCACTGAGCCCTTCCAAGCACGGGGCAGGATGCAGAGTGGCCAAGGGGAGATTGATTTGGGAGCGGGGTGGACCTCTGCCTCTCTGAGCAGTGCCTGTGGGGCTGCCAAGGGGAAATATGGCACAGAGAATCTGTCATTAGGTGCCGCTGGTGACTTTGGAGCAGGAGCCAGCACCCCCAGCCCCTCAGGACGAGGCACCACTGACCCTGCGTTGTGCTGTTTCTTCTGCTGCCTTGGTGCCCATGAAATGAATGCTTTCTCTGATTTGGTCTCAATTTTTTATGCAGTAAAACAAAGTGAAGGTACGGCCTCTCTGACCCATCATTAAGGAGGACAGGAAAGCTGAGCACCTAACACAAAGTCTGTTCTGGAGGAGAAACACAGAGGAAAACCTTGCTCATGGATGGGTTGGGGAGAGCCTCCTTCCAGCTGGACACCTCTGGTTGGACTGATGAGGTCTCCCTGCATGTAACTGCCCAGGGAGCAGCCGCTTTGCTGGCCACCATGGTGTTGTGGTTTCCCTTGAGCTGATGCCAGTGCGATCCCTCGGAGAGGGAACCAGGGCAGGTGAGCTGGCCCTGAGCTGACTAAAGCCTTGGGACATCAGTGTACGAGTGATGATTGGACATGGAGAGGATGCTCAGAGCTATCCCGAGCACAGCCCTGCTCCTGCTCCTGCTCCTGCTCCTGCTCAGCCAGGGTTAAAAATAAAGAAAAACGCAAGTAGAAGTGGCAAACTGTTTTTTCTTGCAAGAAATCTCCCTTTCTTCAGGCTCTTTCCCCCCATCCCTGACCGAAGCCAGCCCTGGACTCAACACAGATCTCCACAGATCCCTGCAGGAAAATATCTTCTTGGCACAGCATGGCCTCTGCCCTTCCCCAGAAAGGTTTCCCGGATGGGTAACTGTCAGGAGGGAGTGGGAAGGGGAGAGATGAGGAGGCTGCGGGGTGAGCATCATCCCAGGAGCAGCCAGCCTTGCTGCCGGGGCTGCTCTCCAGCTCACCACCCACAAACATCCAGCGGGATCATATCCTCCAGAGTCCTCTCTGTTTACAAACAGCAGATCTAGTAGTGCTCCTTTCCTAGCTGGCTCGCTCACCAGCTGTGTCAGGAAGTTATCCCCAACACACTCCAGAAACCTTCTGGACTGTTCCCTGGTATGGTGCACCCAGCTGATATCTGGTAGGTTGATGGATGGGGCAGCCACAGCTTCTCTGGGCAACCTGGGCCAGGCTCTCACCACCCTCACACCAAACAAGTTCTTCCCCACAGCTCAGCTCCATCTCCCCTCTTTCAGGGTCAAACCCTTCCCCTTTGTCCTATGGCTCCCCTCCCTGATCCAGAGTCCCTCCCCATCTCTCCTGGAGCCCCTTGAGGGACTGGAAGGGGCTCCAAGGTCTCCCTGGAGCCTTCTCTTCTCCAGGCTGAACCCCCCCAACTCTCTCAGCCCCCCCTCCCAGCAGAGGGGCTCCAGCCCTCCCAGCATCTCCAGGGCCTCCTCTGCCCCTGCTCCAACAGGTCCATGTCTTTCCTGTGCTGAAAGTCATCCTGTGTATCCTCGCAAGAAGCAGAGGTTTTGCCCTGCCGTCATGCTCAGAGGAGCCCTGAGGGCATCACCACTCCAGAAGGAAAGTTTTCCCCCCGGAGGGGCGTATTAGCCGAGGTCCAGCCCGGCTACAGCAGCTGGAGCTGGCAGGAGGATGCTCCAACATAGACTGGAAGCTTGGGGGTTTCTCCAGTTTGGGTTGTGGGTAGTAGAGCACGGAGGGGAAGAGCACCACATGGCATCTGGGGAGGGAACACCTCACTAGAGGAGATGAACAGGGATCCCCCCGCACCCAATCCCAGTGCTCCCCTCCACTCCAGAGTCTCAAGGTGGGGAGCACTTGGGTTTTTTCCAGCCCTGGATGTTCTCTTCAGGGCTGTGCCACCCAACCTTCCCCCCGTCTGCCCAGAGAGGCTGACCAGTGCACAGACTGGAGTTGAGCCCCCTTTGCCTAAACACCTCAGGAAACAGCTGTGGGGTCTATCTGCAGATGGAGGAAAGTCTCTGCTCTGGTGTGTGAGGTTGTACCTGCACCAAAGAAGTCCAGAGACATCATCCCCAGGTGCAAAGTCCTCTATGGGGACAACCCACCACCCCAACCAGCAACCATGGTCACGGTAAGGATCGTCACACCACTTGAGACCACCCACCATCCCACCAGGCGTGGACAGGCAGACACAAAGAGGGCTTACGGCTCTGCAGATGCTCCGGCTGTGAGGTGTAGGATGCAAAGCAGCAGGGAAGGCAGGGCAGCTGCAGACCCCATGCTTGAGGGACCACGTGGAAGCAAGGTGGTCCCAGAGCCTCCACGCTGGGTCTTCCTCCTACCCTCAACCTTTTACCTCCTCACTGGCAGTAAGCAAGAGCCAGAGAGGTCTCTGGCTGGGACCCAACCATCCAGCTAGGACAATGTTTAACCACTCGACTCAAGGTTTGCAGGGTTCAAGGCTCTGGGCAGCCAAACCGCACCCACAGTGGTGGGACCACCAAGCCAGCCCAGAGCTGAGTGACTAAGGGAGCCCTGACAGGAGGGAAGGGAATAAAGGAGTTTTGTAGGAAATTAGAGGCTTCACGTGCACGTTGCCCTTCACCACCTCCATGTGACAGTTGTTACTCATGGGAAGTCTCGTTCCTGTTGCTAATATTTTTGCCCAGTGGTATTTGTCTATGTCGATGATTTCACAGTTTTGCAGAACTTCCTCCAGGACGAGCCAGCCACTCCTGAGAGCAGAAATGATGCCAAACTGGTACACTGTGCCTTTTTTTGGCCAGTTTGCACACCTTATTTGAAGATGGGAGGTGACACCTGCCCACCCTGCTCCCAGCACTGGGGACAGCCATGCGCTGGATTTCTCCCTGCCCTACTGTCACCCCAGGGTGGCTGGGACAGGAGCTGCTGGGCTGGGAAGGAGCCAGCAGATGCCCAAAGTCCTGCCTGGCTGCAGGGAACAGACCAGGGGAGACAGTAGCTGGTGGATGGGTCTGGTTGTGCCATGGTCCAGAGGCCATGGAGAGGTTTCTCTTGCTCCAGGTGGGCACAATCCACATGCCTTTGCCCTTCGAAGTTTCTGGGCTTTATTGGTGTTCCTCTGTGCACTTACTACTCATCCCTATGGCAGGGAGAGGTCCACCCTGGTGTAACTCTCACCCTGATGCATGTTCCTCACCCTGCCCAGCGCTGTACCCCATGGAGAAGCTGTGGTGTCCATAGGGGTGTTCTACCTGCACTGATCTGGGCATCGCACATGGCCATAAGGAGACAGATCCCCCTCCCCACCCTCCCCAAGGCTCAGGTAGGACACCATACACACACACACCACCGGGTATGGACCCTTTAATCTTGCACCCTCATCTTGTAATTCAGCATCGAGGATGCTCTTCCCATTGTGATAATACCCCCTGTACCTCCTGCCCCCCCAGCCACACACTGTGCTCCAGACCTCTCCCCAGAGGTAGCTGCATCTCACCAGTGTTGCCACCTTGCAGGAGCCTCTGGAAGAAGGAAGTCAGCAAGTCCATGGGTGAAGCCCACTGTGAGTCATGCCGTCAGGGGTGGGAAAATGGTGCAGTGAACCCCCAGCCCAAGCCCTGGCACCTCCTTCCCCTCACCCCAGGCACAGGCAGGACCCATCATGCTGGGCAGAGCAGGCAGACTGGGCTTGCTACCCGGGGCCAAACACAGCACCAGGTTTGGGGGAGACCGGCAATGTCCCGGGGAAGAGGCACACAGTCACAGCAAGGGGTTTCTGGGGGCACCTCACACTGATTTCAAGGTGCTGCCCAGTTCCCATCCCTCTGCTTCCCCTTCCACCTTGCTGAGGTGGTGGCAGGGCTGGTGGGCACATCTGCAGGGGACAGGGTGGTAGTGCCACCTCCCTTATGTCCCCTAATTTCTGGTTGGGGTTGTGTCCTCCTGATGCTGCAGGCTGCCTGTCCCCCTGCCAGCACTGGCCCCAGCACGCTGGTCCCCACAGTGACTTGCAGACATCTCGGCCAGGACTTCAGCCATGCGCTGGCGGACAGTCTCTGTCAGTTCAGGGACATCCTTTGGGCTCAGGCCCCGAGTTTCTACCTTGGGGAGGACTTGGATGGTGCACATCCCTGGAGAGAGAAGGGAAAGGCCAGGGATGCTGTTAGATGAACCCACCAGGAACCAGGTCTTACCACCAGCATCCTCCACCACCAGCTTCCTCCCCACACCTCAGTGTCCCACAAAGAGACCTCCAAGTCCCATGTGCTTCAGCCCCACTGCCAGCCCTGCCTTCTGGCACCAGGGCTTCTTGTCCATCCCTTACCAGAGGTGAATTTCTTATCCTTGGAGCTGAAGAAATCCCGGTACGGGGAGATCACAACAGGCAATATTGGAACCTGTAGGAGATGAAGGGTCAGGAATGTTCTCCATACCAAATCCCTCCTCAGGTGGGACTCCAGTTCCTCCTGTGCCCCAGGCTTCAGCAGATCCTGGTCTCCTCCCTGGATCCTGCACCTGCAGGGTGCCTGTCCCTGGGGACTGCAGACCCCCAAAAACCCTCATGTCCCCCATCCTGCTGCCCCAGAGTCCACACCCCACCCCACTCCATCGAGGGCAAGTGGCAGGGGGGAAGGATGAGCTTACCTGAGCCTGCACGGCCAAGTGGAAAGCCCCACGCTTGAAGGGCAGCATGGACTTTTCCTGGTTCCTGGTGCCTTCAGGGAAAATCAGCACTCGGAGCTACACGGGAGACGAAGATACGTGAGCATGGACCCTGAGCAGAGCGCCCTGGGATGTGCTAGGTCAGTCCTCCCCAACTCCCCCCTGCTGCCAGCCCCCCTCACATTCTCACGCCGCATGGTCCTGGCCGTCTGGGAGATGACATTGATGGCATCTTCTCTTTTGTGGCGGTTGATGAAGATCATGCCGCTGAGCCAGCAGGCCCACCCCACAGTGCCCAGGTACAGCAGCTCCTTCTTGACGATGGGCACACAGTGGTCAGGAATGAACTCTGCCATGCCTGGAGGATGGATGGGAGAGGAAGGGATCCATCCCTACCCAATGGCACCCAGAACCAACCAGTCCTGTGGTAGTGACCTGGTGTGGTCTTCTGTTGTCCCAGCACACCCACAACCCTGAGATTCTGTCCCACCAGCTCTTCTGGCCTATGCCTACCTCACTGCCCTGGACAAATCCTGGTGCTGGCCTTTCTGGGAACCCCCAGGGTGAGGCTGGTCCACCCCTGCAGCACCCCAAAGGTTGCCCATGCAGATGAATCATAGAATCATAGAATGGTTTGGGTTGGAAGGGACCTCAAAGAGCATCGAGTTCCAACCCCCCTGCCCTGGGCAGGGACACCTCCCACTAGAGCAGGTTGCTCAAAGCCCCATCCAGCCTGGCCTTGAACCCCTCCAGGGATGGGGCATCCACAACTTCCCTGGGCAACCTGTTCCAGTGTCTCACCACCCTCATAGTAAAAAATTTCTTTCTGATATCTAATCTGAATCTTTTTTCTTCCAATTTAAAACTCCCCTCTCCCTTGCACGTACCCATGAGGTCAAGGGAAGCTTGGTGGTTACACACTATCACGTAGGGCTCCTTGATGTCCAGATGCTCAGAGCCTCGCACCTGCATCTTGATGCCATAGAAGTATTTGAGGGGCTGGATGGCAGCACGCACGAGCCTAGGGCAGAGGAACACGTGTGGGAGCAGATCAACGCAGGGAAGGGGGGCTGCTTGATTTTTTGCAGCCCTTCACAGTCACCCAGGGAGAAAGGTGCAAGATTGGCCAGGCTAGATCTGCTCTGCATGAGCAAATAGTGTGTCCAAAGGTGGATCTGTGTTCCGTGGCAGTGATGCTTTGCTTTTCCAGGTGCGTTTGTAGCCTGTGTAGCTCAGATCTAACTCCGTTACCCTCCCCATGGTGAGACCGGCTGCTGCCTCAGTAGCTGAAGGTCTGCACTGGAGCTTCTGATGAAGAAGAGCAACCAGCTAAAGCTGGTGAGAGAAAAAAGCAAAACAGGCTTTTTGATGTCCAGGGATCATGGGGAAGCAAGAAGAGAAAGGATGGGATGTCTGCCTGCAGCCAAGGTGCAAACCATCACATCCCAATGAGGACAACTGCCTCTGGCCAGGTGAGTGTCACCCTGAGGCTCCCCCACAGCTGGATCAGGGTGTGTGGGCTGGAAACCCAGACACCAGGATCACAGTCCGGGTGGCAGCCGAGAGGTTCTGAACTGTAGATGGGTGAGCACTGAAGAAGGACATGCAGAGGAACAGTTTTGAGACAGTCAGGTCTACAGAGATGTGGGCGTCTCCAGGGATGTACTTGCAGATGACCCAAAGGGCAGGGCTGCAGGCACCAAGCTTTGCGCTGCTGGTGGAGGGGGAAGAGAGCAGGGAAGGGAAAACCAACTCAGCTTCATTCATTAGAGGAAATCACAAAGAGCAGCTTCACCCGACCTGCAGTGTTGGGAAGAGATGGAGGTTTCATCTATGCAGATGGAAGGGGGAACAAGGAAGAGCGGTGTCACCATCCAGGGAGGGTTGGACAGGAAGGGTGACATTAGGATGGCTGGTTAGAGGAAATCACAAAGCAGCTTCACCCAACCTGCAGTGTTGGGAAGAGATGGAGGTTTCATCTATGCAGATGGAAGGGGGAACAAGGAAGAGCGGTGTCACCATCCAGGGAGGGTTGGACAGGAAGGGTGACATTAGGATGGCTGTGCTGATGAAGGGTGATGCTCAGTATGAGAATAACGAGAGGAATGGAAGGAGGATGGAGCAACAGGGATTGCAGCACCCTGGTAATAAAATGCTGGTATGTTTTTGGTGTTGAAATGGAGCACTCAGACCCAAAGCACGAAGAGCATCCGTGCCACGGTCCACACATTTGGCAGCCATCGGTCCTAGGGAGCCCAGAGGAGAGAGGGGAGGGGACAGGGGAGGGGACATGGCAGTCAGAAAGAGCTCAGCACCAGGTAGGGAGAAGAAGAACTTTGGGAGGAGAGAGCAAAGGCCAGCACAGAGGGAGAAGGAGGCACGATGCGTGGAGGGTCCGTTGTATCAGAAGCCCACCCATCCCTTGGGAGACGCGGACTCGAAGGTCCCCGTATCTGCAGGGAAGCAAAACACAGGGAGCCCAGAGGGGACAGGGGAGGGGACAGGGGAGGGGACATAGCAGTCAGAAAGAGCTCAGCACCAGGTAAGGAGAAGAACTTTGGGAGGAGAGAGCAAAGTCCAGCACAGAGGGAGAAGGAGGCACGATGCGTGGAGGGTCCGTTGTATCAGAAGCCCACCCATCCCTTGGGAGACACGGACTCGAAGGTCCCCGTATCTGCAGGGAAGCAAAACACTCGTGGCAATGCCCCAAAGCCAGGACTAATGACAGGAATGCACTCCAAGCCTGAGGCTTTGGGATTTGGAGGCTGAGGAGGAGACGGAACGGGGCGTGCGTGCTGCTGGGGTGCCGGTGGGATGAGATAAGGCAGCGTGAGTCACCGCTGCCTCACACCAGGTACTTCCTCTGAGCCGGAAGCGTTTGCACCAGGGCTGGGAGCACCTCCGGAGGCGTGTGTGTGTGTGTGCACAGCGTTTCTGCACGGAAAGGACGAGGGAGAGAGGCAACACCACCGACTGATGACATCAAACCACTGTCCACACTCCTGCCAAGCGCCCAAAATCCATCAGCACAGGTACGGGATGGCTCGAGCGCAGCAAATACTCAGACGTTTTTCACTCTGACGTAATTATATCCTTTCTGGTATGCTGTCATGCCCACGAACCCAGTAAGAAGATTGCGACACCCTTGAAAGCAACAAGACCTTCCTCTCGTGTTGCACAGCGATGTTATCTCGGCTGCCACCACCCCTGAGCACGGCTGACAACACCAGCGCGTGATTCGCCAGGACATGACTGTGCCATGCCCGACGGCTGATGGCACTGAGACATCCCAAAGTCCCCAGGGAGACTGCAATGGGTGTGCGTTTGCATCCTGCTCATGGCTGAACCTCCAATCTTTGCCAAAACCCCTCTATTGCCCACCCAACTGATGACCCCAACGTTGTGATGGCCAAGGATGATCCCTTCCATGCTACTTCATCCTCCATGGACCACTAGTCCCGACCCAATTGGCCATCTCCATCGTGGTGTAACCCTCCCTGGGCATGGCCAACACCTCTTCACCACACCACAAGACGCCAATGCACTCTTAATTGCCACATGGACATGCCACAGCCTTTGCTGTGGCCTGAGGGCTCAACCACTGGCCATAACACAGCTGTGGCTATGCCCAGAGCAGGAGAGAGCATGTGTCCACAAGAACACATGAGCTCCTCTGCTGGCAGCCAAGCCCCAGCCATCTCCACATCAGAAGCACATTTCCAGGCCATACTCACTTCATGTTCTCTGGAGAGCGTCCCCGAAAAGCCGCAAAGGGGGAGAGGAGGGTGGCCACAGCCAAGATCCAGCAGTTGAAGAAGGCAACCTTGCAGAAGTAGTGGAAGGTGGCATTGTACCAGTAAAGCAGGAGGGCTGCCAAGGGGAGGAGGAGCAGCAGCCCATGGAGCAGGACCACCTCCATCATGCTGCCCTGGTAGGAAGATGCTGCGGAGCTCATCCCGCGTCCCCAGGAGCAGGGCAAGTGGAGCAGGGGATGCCGAGGAGCCCGGCAGGTGACTCAGGTGGATCAGCAAAGAAGTGCGTGGGTGTTTGGGGCTGGTCCAGGGGAAGATGCTGTGTGTTGAGGATGGACTGGCTCAGACGGGAGGCAGACTACCCCACCGAGGGTGGAGAGTGGTGGTGAGTCAACGCCGGGGACCCTGGGTCACCCAAAGTGTCACTGCTGATAAGTGCCCTCCCGGGTTGTTGAAAGCCGTTGCCGTGCCTCTGACTTGATGAGATCATATCTGTTGGCCACAAAAGCATCCATGCTCTGGGCACCTCTCCTGGACACAGGGACCTCAACCCTGGCAAAGAGGGATCTCAGTGGGTAGGGACAGCAGGAGCTGGTTCTGGTCCATGCCCACCACTCTGGCAAGGCTTAGCACAATTTCCTCTTGGCATCATGACTAATCCCAAAACCTCACCCTGCTGAGTATCAGATCATTGGAAGATCTCTCCCTGCCTGGGACCCCCGCAGGTGTATGGTGTCAGGGGTCCCCATCTCCCTGCTCCCCCCTAATCTGGGCTGCAGGATCCCCTCTGTCCTTCCCCTCTCAAGGCCGAGCATCTCTCACCAAGGTCCAGGAGATGCCACGGTGGTCTGAGCCCTGGCAGCCCCTCTGGCTCCCACCCTGGGCTGAAGGAGATGCCAGCCCTCGCCCCAGCCAGGGGCTGCATTGCGTTAGGTGTTTACATAGGTGCAATTAACACTCACAGGGTTGTAATTAACCTCTCCTTCCGCTCTGGTGCTTTCGCACTGGGCACACAGGATACAAACCAACTCTGGGTTGCCGCGCGGAAACTTGCTGTTAAAAAGCATGTACTCATCATTGCAGAGATAACTCTGGCCTGGTCTCAGCCACCAGCAGCATCTCCCAGCCTGGGTGTTCCTTGCCCCAAAGCCTGCCAGGGATGTCCATGTGTTGATGCTCACACCCATCAATTCGTCTCTGACCCTTGGGGCAGGAACCTGCGAGCAGAGAGCTCCACTTGTGCCTTCCCATAGCAATCCCACCAGGGCTGTGGGGCAAACGGTCCCATGACTCCACACTTGGGAGAGGCTTCACATCACCTGGGTCGAATCCAGCAGCCCCGTCCCTCGTCTGACACGACCTACCCTCAGGAGAACCACTCTGCATCTCCCCTGCTCCACTCCCCTCCATGCCCATGCCTGCTCTTTCCACCCACACCTTCTCCCTTCCCCCTACTGATGTGGGTTCAAATAGATGCTGGTGGACTCCTGGTTGTGTGATGCTCTCCATGCTGCCAGCTGAAGGGTGCCCCGGTTCAACCACTGTGACCCAGAGAGGGCTCCAGGGGTTACTTCCACCATGGGTGTTGTAATCCCCATTGCTTCATCCTCCCATTCCTCTCATTATCCTCATATTCAGGCTAAGATTGGGCCATATCTTGAGCCCAGCCTTCCTGTCCACCCCATTGCCAGGTGACTCCTCTCCTCCTTCTTCCCTTTCTGTCTCTACAGATAAGGAAGCCCTTGTGTACCAGCCTGGTTTCACATCAAACTCTGCTTTGCTTTTGGATGATCTTCTCCCCTTCTGCTCTTACTGCTCTGCTGAGCCCATCTCGCAGCCTGCCAGGGTACTCCCAGCTGGAGGAGACGTGTCTTCATGCTGCAACCCAACGTGACTCTTTAGCTCCACACTGAGAAGCTTCTCCTCCAGCTTCATCAGGAGCCAGGCTGAGCTTTGCTGCAGGAGCAGATCTGCCTGTGCCAGAGCCCAGCTCAGTCCTGGGCTTGGGGAGGATAAAATCTCCTTTCCATAGTGACCCCAGAAGAGAGACAGGGCAGTCCTCATGCCCAATGGGGGCAGAAAGAGGAGATTTAAGGCACAATTGCCTGGACACCGTCTTTCTGCATGGCCTGAGCTCCAGATGACCACAAGCCCCGAAGTCTCCTGTTAGGAGCTCTGCTCTTGAGGCAAAGCCTCCTAACAACTGGCCTGTAACCCCACCGGGTGGTCAGAGCAGGGCTGTCACCCCTAAGTGTGGTTGGGGCAGGTAGCAGAGGTGAGGGATAGCTTCCAGCACCCATCTGCCCTCACTTCCCCCTTCTTCCTGATGAGCAGAGGGGACACTGAATCCTGGGGAACTCCATAACCACCCTTTTTCAGGCTGCTGCTCCAACTGCATCCCCACGAGGAGCAAGCTGCAGACCAGATCCAGCTCTCCCAACGCTGTGTTCAGCCCAGCAGCCCCCCCATATTGCCCCAGCACCCTCAACAGGCACTGATACACTCCCCCCAACCAGGTGCAAGAGCCTCACCACCCCCCTCAGGCCTCCAGCTTGGAGGGATCCCTGCATTCAGGCAGGAAGCCAGAAGCCTGGGTAATTACAGATGCTTAATTAGTGACAGCAGGGTGCTTCCTTAACAAAGCAAATTAATTACAGGCAATGTGCTGCATTGAGATCTGAAGGCACTAATGAAGGCCAGGACCACCTGGGCTAGCATCACCCTCCTCCTCCTCCTCCTCCTCCTCC